ATTTTTCCAGAAGAATTAAAAACATCACACCACAGCAATATATGTGCACCCATGTTTGTAGCAGCACAATTTGTTATAGGTAGATCTTGGAAACAATCCAATTGCCCATCAACTGAGGAGTGGATAAAAAAGATGTGGTATTTTTATACAATGGAATATTACTCAGCTATAAAAAAGATAAACTCCAGGGTTTTGTAGGAAAATGGATGCAATTAGAGACCATACTCATAAGAGAAATAAATCGGACCCACATGTGTGAACATCATATTGTCTCCCTGGTGGAGGAACCTGAACAAATTAGTAAAACTCAAAACATACAATAGATGATATGAAAGGGAAAGAAATTGCTCAAAGGACAGAACAACTGGGATGAGGGAAAGAAGAAAAAGAAGGAAAGAAGGAAGTCTCTCTCTCTCTCTCTCTCTATATATATATATATATATATATGGAAGGATAGCTGGGATAACTGTACTGCTGATGTCTAATGGTTTATTGAAAGGAACAGTTAGTGCTTTAATTTTTTCACAAATTTAGATGCTTATATCTGGTAATCTGAACAGCTAATTTGAAGACAACAATATGTAATATAACAACCACTGGTGAATTCTTACCATCTTATTTAGTGAAGCTCTGTTTCATTTCTACTGTTTGTTTTTATTATTTGTTATTCTCTTTAATAGTTTGATTGGTCTTGCATTCTTACATCTGGTAATCTGAGCAACTTGGTTGAAGATAACAGTGTGTAATATAACAACCGCACCATCTGTTTAATTTTTCTCTGTAGTTCAGGAACCAATCTGGGATTATCTGTGGCATTTAGTTCTCATGTCTCCTGAATCTTTCAACTTGGATCTGTTCTTCTGTCTTTCGTAAGTTTAACAGCATTAGACAGCACAGTCCTTGTGCTGCAGGACCCCTCTCAGCTGAGCCCACCTAGAGATTTCTCACGTCCAGACCAAGGCCATGTATTAACGGCTGGAGGGTGACAGAAATGAAGCTGCAGTCTTCCTGGGGCATCCCGATGGGGCACCTATGATTCGGTCTGGAACCTGTGATGTTCCCCAGGCGCTCCTTGTCCACTCGGGGTGTTCCAAGCTTCTCTTCAATAAAACCATCCATTTCCCTTTCATAACCAAGTATTTTTTTCAGAAGATACTTCAAGACTTGGCTAATATCCTGCTTATATCAAAGACTCGCCCACCCTCCTGAGTCAACTAAGACTGTCAAATGGCGACTCTATCTCCATTAATCCCAATTAATAGGCATTTCCACCATGAGGAATTGCTGTTCCAGCTCCCTCATTTATTTATTTCATAGCTTACTTACATTAGTATAGAGTCGCCTTTTATTCAATAGGTCATAACCAGTTACATCATTACCTTTTTTTGTTTTGGTGCCAAGAATCAAACTCAGGACTCTGCACTTGCCAGGCAGGTACTTATGCTGCTGAGCTATATCCCCGGCCCTCATTACTTATTTTGATAACAAAATTGTCCTGCATTTGGCCCATATGAGTGAACTTCTTACAGCTGGCTCATGTGTCTTCCTGGCACATTCCCATTATTCCTTGAGCATTTCCCTATCCAAAATCACTTTATACTTTCCCAGTCCAGCCCAGAATCAGGCCTGGTTTCTTTTAATAGAGGGTGGTATTTAGAAAGCAAGATCTTCTGGCCACTTGATGTGTCCCTTGCTAGTGGCCTCTGAGTGGTATTTATGATGTATGTATGTATGCACATAGCACATACACAGTTTTAAAAAAGTTATTCCATACTCATTTTTAACCCAATCCAAGCCTCCAGGTTCTTTATACCTTTCTTTCCATATTTATAAACTCCTTCTCCATCAATAAGATGCCTGTCTTCTGTGTCACTTACTGTTTCTCTCATTGGCCCAGTAACCCTGCAGGGTGGCAGTCTCCCTGCCATGGTGCTACCTCTCAACCTGCCATCTCTTCAGCCCTTCACTCTTCCAAGGGAGAGAAAGGCCACGGGTTGTCACACATTCTTAACGACACATTCTCCAAGTCTTGTGGCTGCAGATAAAGGGCTACGAGACAGAGAGCTGTGGGGAACCACAGCTAATTAAATCAACCTGCAGTTTGTAAAAGCATCTGTGCAGAATCTACCTGGGTTTTGCAGTCACCGGGTCCCTCCTGCAAATCCCTGGCAATTCAGAAACCAGCAGCCAGGCAGTCTCCAGTTTTATCTCCTTGGCACTAAGCACTATAAAAAGCACTGCTCCAATTGCCTAGAAGCCCATTTTCTCAGATGACTAAGGTAGGAAGACATACAAATCCAGAACATCAAATACCATAGAGACAAGTTCTTCTAAGTAGCTCTTGTGGTTGCTTCTAATCTGGGTAGAATCGGGGCTCTCTGCTCCCCCCAATAGCCACTGCTGTCCCGAAAGAGAAGTTGCCCTGGTAGACACCTATTAACAGCCATATGTACTCATATTAAGGTCCTGGGGAAAAGACGGTGGGCTTTTTTTTTTTCTTTCCCCTGAATTGAGTCCTGAAAGCATCAGGTGGGAAATACAATGTGAGTGATTTGAGACTCACCACACAAATATCTTTAGATGCTTTATATTTTTGGGATCTCAGAGCAAGGAAAACACTGGTGACGAGGAATAAGAACCGCCGAAGCATTTAATTAGTAGGGAGTTACGCGTGCCACAGTTGTGAGGACACTGCTCTAGGGGAACCGTATTCTCTGCTGACTGGTGCACAACTAGAGAACACCCGGTAACCCAAACAAACCTCCCTTGCCTGTTGGCCCTGGGAATCCTCTGCTACCAGTTGTGACAACCAGAACAAACAGTGGAGAACTAGCTCAGCCACGTAGAAAACATCCTTCCTGTGAGAAAACAAATGTCACATGTTTGGGTCCAGATAGGAGGGAAGAATCCTACTCCTATAGCCTCAGCCACACCTGGGAAAGTGTTAGAAAAGGGGCGGGGCGGGAGGTCCTACCTAGAATACCTGCTACATGGGAAACTGCACGGCAGCCCGGCCCATCGGAGGGAGTATTTTTTTTTTTGTTTTAATTTGGTGATACTGGAGATTGAACCCAGGACCTTCTCACCGGACTATATTCCCAGCTCTTTTTTTAAAATTTTGAGACAGGCCTCACTAAGTCAGTAAATCACCTAGGCCAGGCTCGAATTTGAGATTCTCCTGCCTCAATCTACCCAGAGTGATGGGATCACAGGTGTGTACCACCATGGCCAGCACACCACTCTCAGTTTTAAAACTCAGGTCTTACAGCCACAGTCCTACATAGTACCCGAGTGGTGTTGGAGGGACTCTGAGAGCGACCAGCCTTACACGTAAGCCCCGGAGCGGGTACTTAGGGAGAGCTGTGTAGTTCTTCCAGCAAACCAGAGCGTTGTTTACAAAAGCTACACGCGTTTTGCTATATTTAAGGCGCAGGAAGTTGTTCTGCACTCCTAGGTCAAAGAGTCGCTTCCCCTTTTGCCCTCCCGCGGACCGAGCCACAGGCTGAGGCTCACTTGGAGACCCGGCAGGGGTCGCTGCTGCCCAGGAAGAGCGACTCGGGGAGCGTGGCAAGAGAAACCCAGAAGCTTTGACATCACACTAAGCTCCTCCTTGCACGCACACATTATACACACACAAACATATACAGACACGCGCGCACACACTCGGCCCGCGCACTCCTCTCCCGGAGCCGGCCCCTCCCGCGGCAAGTGTGCGCCCCGCGCAGCCCCCGGCGAGGCCCGCAGCGCGGCGTGCACGACCCCGGCGAGGCACAGCGGCCCCCGCGCTGCACCCGGACGCGCTCGCTGCACCCGGACAGCGCTGCGCGGCGGCCCGGACACCCGCCGGGACCGAGGGCGCAGGGCGGCCACCCCTATGAACGGAGAAGCCCGGCGCGGCAGCAGGACGCTTGGCAGCCGGACTCCTCCGCAAGCCCGGGGCGCCCCCTCCTTCGCCACCCCCCGTTCGCCCGGGAAGCGAAATGCAGCCGCCGCGCTTCGGTTAAGAGGCGCAGGGGCCCGCGCCATCCGGCCGCCCGGAATCCGATCCCCGCGGCGGCTGCGCGTCCCGGCCGCGGCCCCTGGAGCC